AGACATCAACGCACGGTGAAGCCTCGATGAAAAAAAAATCCCCCTCCCTACCACCCCCACAAAAAAAAAAAAAAAAATAGAAACCATCAGAATTAAAAGAAAGCTACGAAAGACCGATTGAGACATTTTGATGTTAACATTTTTCATTTCAAACCTGAAATTTCTTATTTCTAAGTTGACGTTTCTCAACCTTTTGAATGGCTTTGACGCTATATACCGTTTCAAATTTCTGGCTTCCGGATGTTTACTGGAATCTTTAAGGTACTCGAAATTGATTCCAGGAACACATGACAAGCGCAATAAAGTCGGCACGACGGGCTTACACGTACACGAAGAAGGAAATGAAAGTTTGGACTGAAATGTAACGATCAGGTTAAAAATTGCTCGGAATACAATGTTTATTTAAAAAAAATTGACATTAAATTTTTGTATGAAAATTATAAACTTTAGAGTGAAAAATATTCATTCAAACAAAGCAACAGGAAAAGGAAGGTTGTAGAGAGGAAAAAACAATTACATCTATCACGTCTTTAATGTATGGTCAGATCATATGTTTTCGTACGTCATATGAATTCGTACTATGCATGCTTTTTCTATGGAAATTGTGACGTCACAATGCATTCTTAATAGCACGAAAACCCATGAGATGAGGATATAAAAATATAATTGACTTATAATCTAATATAATCTAATTGCGCATTGTAAACTATAATTACATTTACTTACAATTTATAAATAACTGCATGGGAAGGTGAAAGAAGAAAGAATAGAAGGTCGTCGTATATCGTGGTATTACAAATATAATTTCCATATAAAACTTAAGCCTTACGTTTTGATGTGATATGAAAATATATAGATACAATTTGTGCCTTGTAAAATTGTTCAACAAAAAGTAAGCGCTTTGTACAATTTTCAATAGCACCGGTGGTCTCGTGGTCTCGTGTTCGTCGTTTCGATCCCTGCTGGGTCAAAGCAAAGAATTCAAAATGAATTATCGCTGCTTACCCACCAAGCACACAGCTTTAATTAAAAAAAAATAAAGATTTGTCGACTAGGAGACAGACATTTCTTTTTGCGGATTACTATCTTTCGATCTACGTAATAACCCGACTTGGTGTGTCGGTCAAGAACAAGGAAAGCAAGCCACGTATATTCATTTCATTAACATAGTGTCATCCTGAATATGTATGTAATATTTGCCGATAGACGATAAAGATCCATCAATCAATCAATATATGAGGATATGGATGGAGTTTACAGAATAGAGAATAATGACCAAAATATTTATGAATATCGTTAAATGAGCAAACAAGTTGCTTTAAAAACAAAAAAGACAATACGTGAACCTTAGAACTTTTTTATTCTATTAATTCAACTGAATAAGAAATTATATATCAGTGTTTGCATGGTCATGTGTGTGGAAGATAATATTTTCTTTTTATTGTAAATCATTACAATTTTGGCATGTTGAGAGAAGTGTTAAATAAAATTCGTAAGGGTTCCGCGGAACACAGTGTCTCACGTACTTTTGCTGTTAATCGCAGGCTCAACAAAAATGAGGAAAAAATTAATAAAAATATTCCTCTCTATACTATCTTTTGATTGTAAGTAGCTTCTGTCCAAGTTTGGTAAAAATACAGGATAGTTTATGAATCTAATAAATGTTTTAAAAACTTAAACTGCAGACTGTATGTAATGTTGACTGGAAGAAAAACTAAGTCCATTTATAAGTAAAATACGGAAAAAATGGAACAAAATTTTTAACAAAATTTCCTTCCAAATACTAGCCTTCATCATAAACAAGCTTCTGTCCAAGTTTGGTACAAATCCAGGATAGTTTAAGAAAGTTATTAAAATTTTAAAAACTTTAACCACAGGATGAATGTAATGTTAACTGGCAGAAAAAAAACTAAGTCCATTTATAAGTAAAATACGGAAAAAATGGATTTTTTTTTTTTAAATTTACTTCTGGATACTATCTTATGATCATAAACAAGCTTCTTTCCACGTTTGGTAGAAATCCAGGATAGTTTAAGAAAGTTATTAAAATTTCAAAAACTTTAACCACAGAGTGAATGTGATGTTTCCTGGCAGAAAAACTAAGTCCATTTACAAGTAAAATACGGAAAAAATGGATTTTTTTTTTACAAAATTTACTTTTGAATATTATCTTATGATCATAAACAAGCTTCTGTCCAAGTTTGGTAGAAATCCAGGATAGTTTAAGAAAGTTATTAAAATTTCAAAAACTTTAACCACAGAGTGATTATTTGTGGACGACGACGCCGACGACGCCGACGGAATGTAGGATCGCTATGTCTCGCTTTTTCGACAAAAGTCGAAGGCTCGACAATAAAGCAATGAGGAAAAAAAAATAGATTCCCAGACGTATAATTTCTTAAAGAATAATAATGATTCAAAACATGGTGGACACATGTACCTTCTTCCAAAAATTTATAAAATTAATCTAGAAATAAGTAATGAGGCATTGCGAACTGGTCAGCTAGCATCACACATTAATGTTCGTTACCGACCAATCATCAATAAATGCAACTCTCCCGCGAGAGATACTTACTTGATCTAATAATAAAACCATTATTGAAGAGGCATAACTTTTACATTCAAGATAAAAAGATTCCATTAATAAAATAGAGTCACACGAGGTAAAAAAAGAATGCATTCCTATTGCCTATGATGTACGTCAAGGTACACACATATGATCATTGATAATTAAGAAGAAACTGTTATCAATGCATTAGAATTAATTGACACACAGGAGAATATACTTTAAAGATTCTCAACAAAATAGATTTAATTGCATTTGTTAAATTAATTCTTAGAAACAATGAATTTGAGTTTAATTAATGGACTGTTATACAAACACATTATAGGAGCGCCCATGGGTGGTATATTTTCACCATCATGCACAGATCTGCATCTGTCTGTCCTATTCATTAAAATCTTAGATAAGTTCCAATGGAGAGAAAACATCAAATTACACTGTCAATAGGGATGACGGTTTTATGGTCTTCACAGGCAAATTAGAGCAAGTTGAAGATTTCTTTAACCTAGCAAACGAAATTGACCGTCTACTTTAGTTCTAATATGAGGTGTCGACATCTAGTATGACCTATTTAGAGGGTGGTAAAGGGTTATTTTCGTGCAACGTTTTCGGCCTTTTTATTTCACGTGATTTCGCATTTCGACGTTTTATTTCTCGTTTTCTCGTGTTTGGTTCGACGTGTGTGCTTCGTGTTTTCCCTTAATTATTTTCCGTGTTTCGTGTCGGTACTCTTATTTTCTCGTACTTGTCCCGCATTTGATTAAAAAGTAAACCGGGACTAATTCAAAGTCAGCCCAGATATTGTTTTAAATTATAAACTAATTAACTGGTCCCAAGATATTTATTAATAGCCTATTGTATTACTATGATAAATCGTATGCAACTAGAGGACGCTAAAAAGTTACCCCATGCAGGGTCGCCATGTCAACTTATAATGACTGCATGATCTCCAAGAACGGCTGAGTAATAACTTTTGGTACTTTTTTTCCTAAATATTTACGATTTTATTCCTTGGCTTCGTTTTTCCAGAGTTTTTTTTCGTGCAACGTTTTTGCGATTTGTTATTTCACGTGTTTTCGTGTTCAGACCCCCCCCCCCCCCCCCTCCTCCTTTTTTTACCACCCTCTATTTAGATACCGACGTGTACAAAGGTGATCGATTCCATAATAATGGAAATCTTGATGTTTAGTCACGTATATTAAAAACACAGAAACGTATCAATATTTACCAATCACTAGTGCACATCCAAAACACACATAAATTTAAGAGTATTAATTTACAGTGTGTGAATAATATAAGAAATAAAAGTGACATCAATGATATTAAATAAACATTTAATTAGCTTACAAGATAACTTAATTGATAGAGGATACTGTTAAAAGGAAACAGTATAAGTTGTAAAAAATGTATATTAACGAATAGTCTGTTAATATTTTTTGTTTTTTTTTCATTTGAAACAATTTTTTTTTATCTGATTTGTCAAAATGACAAGTATGCATAATGATTTTATTGTTACAAATCAAATCCCAAAGCCCACTATAACTCATTATGTAGAAGCGACAGCACTATTTTAAAATATCTCTCTGTGAATATCTAGACACAGATGTTTGATACCATATGCATAGGTCGTTATAATTAAATCTTGACCATTTATCTTTCACTTGTTTATCAAAGGGTACAACTGTCAACTTTGCTCAAGTCAGTTAACAATTGCAATGCATAAAATGTAGCTTTACAATAAATATACATGTTTGAAAAGGATCTATAGATTGCTTATTATCATATATCAGATAAGTGAATTAGCGATCTGTGAAAATTCTTTATTGTCATGTTTTAAATATCTTAGATACCCCTATGGAGGTGCTCTTAATTGCAGGAAGCTAATACAGATAAGATGAATAGGTGTTCCGACTTAACAATAATTTAGCTTCCGAATATTCCTCCATAGACTATATTTCTTATCTAACTAATTTATATGCGTGAACCCTCAGGGGTTCACGCAAAATATAAAGAATAAAGAATAATGGAGTGCAAAAGTTTAAATATAGCTGTGGAAAATAAAAGAATTAGTTGATGCAATACTGATTACAGAAACGACGTACAGAAAAAAGAAATCATCTTACATTAATTTTGTGTATTTCATAAAAAATCAATAGTAAAATCATTATCATGAGAATTTTACAGAATAAGCGTTTTTAAAAGACAAGGAAGAATTCCATAAGAATTTAATGAATACAGAAATTAAGGACCCCCATCCAGTCCCTTATATATCTACGATGTTTATTTTCTATAAGTTAGTATAAACATCGATGTGATATACTGCACGCGGAACTATTGATTGTTCAATTGATGTACGCATGACTAGGTGTAACATATTGCGACATAATTTAATTTAAGTACTTTATCAATGAAAATAACATCTTTAATAAATATATTAGCATATTATATAAAATTATTTACATCAAGAAAATGTTACTGGTTTAAAAAGAGGTATGTGTTTAAAAGTGTAATAATACACAATATTATGATGATATGATTGCTTCAGTGTTGTTTGCTTTACGTTCAGTGACAATTATATTTCATGAATATTCAGAACGACAACGAATTATATAGTGACAATGAATACAAAGGGTAAAGGTTCTGCAAGATGGGACGACCATGATAAAGGACGAGAAATTTGGAATGCCACTAGGCCACTAAGGGTATGTTGGATAGGTGCTGAGAATTTCCCCTTGCAACAGGCATTCTACGGAGCCCTCATTGAGTTGTTGCAGGGGTTCTTAAACGTGCAAAGAGCATTGCACTAACCCTGCACGAGGTATTATATTCAACGTCCCCATTCTGACCGGACGTTCCAGCGAATTCATACATCCCGGAAAGCCAAAAGGACGACCTCCTTTAGTACGGGTTTTACTGCCGCAACAATAAAGTTCCAATATTTGCATATGTCTTTACCCCTGTTAATCCTTTGGGTTACGATCATATGGAACATGAAACAGTACACAATTAATAAAGGTATTGTATCCCTGATCGCAGAGGCGGATTTAGAGGGTTTTTCAGGCCCCCCCCTTTTTGGGAAAAATTTGGTTGATTATATAGGAAATCACTGAAGCATGACTGGAGCGGCCCCCTCTTAAGCAGTCAGTGAGCCCCCTCTTACTGGGTCGTATCATATCACGAAGCCTACATTACATAGATTTTGGTTTGAAATCTAAAAAAAAAATGTTGATTATACTTGATATTATTTTGTTTCAATTTCAATTTTATTCGGTGTTCATAGAGGGACAGCCAGTTTTTTCGTCGAAGGTCGGTGGTTCTTTCCGGGTACTCCAGATTCCTCCACCTATAAAAATTGGCCGCCATAACATACTAAAATGTTCTTTATAAATTATATCCCCATTATTTCCTAATCTGTATTTCTTTTGTCCGTTTTTTCTCCATTCTTTATCTTTTGCCCATTGTTCTCTATTCTGTAATTCCCATTTAGACCCCCATACATGTAGTCTATACAAGTTTTAGTATAATTCTTGTAGAACTGGCGGCAGTATAATTCTTACATGATCATTTCGCCTTGTCTTTATAAAAATAACAAGATGTATGATTGCCAAATGAGATAACTTTGAACCAGAGACCAAACGATGTAGAAGTTAACAACTTTAGGCTATCGTACGGCCTTCAACAATGAGCAAAACCCATGTCTAGAACAAATCAAGGAATAATACGTACAAATAAAATTCTGAAAAAAATCGTTTTGGTAAAGAAAAAACAACAGCGACGCAACAACACAAAAAGACATCTTGAGGCTTGTATGGACAAATATATAATAACACACCCCACGCTACGATAACATCCCAACTTACCTGTACACAATAAAACAAAACAACTTACATGCATCTATATTAATAGACGTGTTAGGAAAGTCAATACGATTTTGACGCTGATGTTAAATACCAATACGACTACAGGATATAGTGGGGACCATCTCAAAAAGCACAGATAATCATTCATTATAGTTACCTGTATGGGTTTGTTTGATAATGATGAGATGATTTTTAAACAATAAAATAGTAACAATTTATTCCGCAATACACGGACGAGGATCAAGCAAAACAACACGAACATTATTCTTGCATTGTGTCATAGTAGGGATCGATTAAGTTTAAGATCGTTGTTCCCCATTTCTTACTACTTTGTTGAACTACAAGGAAAATCTACAAAGTGATTAAAATAAATGAATAGAAAAAAACACTGGAATCAAATCACATTCGAATCCGATTTTTACTCTACATCAATCTTTGTTCAAAACGTTCGTTTATTAGAAATTTATTTAAAAAATAATTGTCATGTCGGGGCCTTTCTTAGCTTTCATATGCGGGAATGGTTTTGCTCCATGTTGGGGTCTGTCGTACGGTGATCTATAGTTGCAAACATTTACGTCATTTGGTCTCTGGTAGATAGTTGTCTATTTTGGCAATCATACCGCATCTCCCTATTTAATATCATTTTATAGAATAGAGCAATGTGTTACACAGTAGCGTAAAATTCTAAAAATAAATCAAACTAGAAAATTTGTGTACTTGACAAGTAAAAAAAAAAGACTGAAACAAAAGCGTTCTCAATTTGATTATCTTCATATTTTTATTTTATCTAGAAAGGTCACTGACAATTTTATATAATGTTAAATGAATTAATTCTTATCCACATAAAAAATTTTGCCCTGACATTTTCCTTCTATCAACTTTAATCAGTTAGTTTTTCGGAAAAAAGAGGTTATCGAATCAAGTTAAAAAAGATCACAACGTTTGGACATTATCAAGCATGTTAAATTTACGTTTCGGTAAAGGGTCGGTCGGAAGTTTTTTTTTCTTGTTACCACGGCTTCCTCCACCAACAAAACAGAACACCACGATTAAATTGAGATATTGTTGAAAGTGGCGTTAAACTTTCATATGGAGAAGTTAATGTTAGTATCTTTGAGTCAGGAGGTTATTTTGAAAATGAAATATTCATTTTCACCTCTTTCAAAACAAAGTCTGCTAAATTATATGTCGGGCTTTTTTTTTTCGATTTGCTTCATTTTGTTTTTCCTTAGATTCACTATGCACTCTGCTTTCTAAATTGGACGGTATATAGTGATGGGTATATTGGTCCATCCGTCCGTTCTTTCGTCCCTCTGTCCATTCATTGCATTCAAACCCCAATAGTAGCAGCCAAAACGAATCACATACAGCTCATGGAAAGTGGTTTTCTTGAACATTAAAACGATGTGCAGCAAGACAACACAACTTTCTTCTGTAGCCCTCTGCTTCTTAAAGTTTTATATAGAAATAGCGCTGTGTGTCCACTTTTTATTTACTTGTTTATATAAAGATATAACGATGTGTTCAGATTAGTACTGATTTGTTTAAGCCACACATGTATACGCGTTCCTGTATCCCTGCACACAAAATGCATGCTAGCTATATTTTGCAACGGAAATAGGACATATCTATTGTGGAGAGACAGACAAACTGAGTAATTTAAGTATTAAACATATTCTAATCATATCGCTTAATATATATATCTGGACTTGTGGCCGTAAAATCCGTCATTCCCATTCTTGACTCTTACATATATTTTTGTTAAGTTTTGTTTTGCACTCTTAAATCAAACAAATACAAATTAATGTATGAATGTATGAAGATCTACGTAAGGCAAATGCACGTCTTAAAATTTGGATTCGACGTTAACTGTTCGCTTTATGTTGTATCAAACACACCACAAAGCTAAACTATACTACGCCGGGATACTTTTCAGTGCAATTGCATTTTGAGAAAGTCCACACTTAAATCTTGTATCGGTATTGGTATTTAACATCAGCGCAGTATTTAAACCCCTTTCCTAACACGTCTAATAATTACGTTCTAAGTAGATCGGAAGTCGCTCTTTAACCTTACAAGTTAGTGTTATCTTTTGGAAAATTCACCAAACATTTCAAACTAGGAAAATGATTATAAAACTGTTTCTTCCTATAGCTCGAGTTATATAGCTGGATCTATTCCATTGTAAGGTATGTTATGCAAGCTTTCCTTCAGCATCATTAGAACCACAGGAGCGGATCCAGGATTTTTTAAAAGGGGGAGGGGGTAATTCTCGATAATTAAAGATATACAAATGTAGATGAATGAAAAAAAATGGACAATTTTGTAGTGAAAATTTTCACATATTGTGAAAAAAAATATGATAATTTTTTTTTTGGGCGATCAAAAAGGGGGTGAGTACGTATGATTTTCAATCATATGCATGGAAATGAATTTTGGTACCGTCAATTTTAGACCTCAAAAATATAATTGAATAAATCTTGGACCCAAATTTAACAAAAACTTTTGAAGCATCTTCATAAATACAAACTTATCTATATTCGACTTTTATTATTAAGATATCTTTCTCAAAATTTAAACATTTTGGCATAATATACCCATTCTATTTTTTTCAATGCGGCTCTTTAAATGTTTTAAATATAACGAATCTTTTCTTCAGTCTTACAACGTTGATAAATGAGGGAAAGGGGAATGGTGGGGGTTGAGAAAAGTGTCTAGACAATTATCTCGGTGAAAAGTTCAGAAGGTGTTAGACATTGTAAATCCATAGTGGCAACACTAGACCAATACAAAATGAAAATAAATGAAAACAGACGTTGAGAACGGACTTAAACACAGTTGATGAAGTACACAAACTAACTTTACATTGAAAACTACAAGTTTCGACGATGTTTTGAATATTTGGGTAAATAAAAAATGAGAAGATGTGTTGCAAAACGAAACGAGGTTGATCTATATTTCAAACAAGACATTCGAATTTTATTTCTCATTATGCAAAAACATTACTTAACTGAATACACTCAACGGAAAGCAGTTTTGTTACAAAATAACATAAGAAATGAGAAAGCATGTTTAAGAGTCATGCATGAATGCATAACAAATCAATAATTGTACGTATTATAAACTGGTTCTTTTTATACCATAACGCTTTAGGTAATGTTTAATGGTGTGTGTAATGACAAAAAATCACTTCTGAAGTATAACACCCACCTTACCTTTTAGCCATGTACAAAATGTATGTAAATATACTTGCGAGATAAATTGATATCTGTAATAAGTGTAAATAAGTATACATGAAAGTATATATATAAGGGTCTTGATGGGAGGTCCTTCATTTCTGTACTCTTTAATTTTTTAAGCCATTTTTCTCTATTATTTTATATTCTAGCACCCAATTTTTCTCCATTTTTCCTTAAATCAAAGGTTTTGATAAGAATACTACACTGTTAATATTAGACCAATTGGGACATTTTAGCTTCGTACCATGTATCCAATTTCCTTATATATGAAAAATACAATTGCCGTGTATCCTTTCTTTAGTTGACTAGTGTAGTAAATCATCGGAAGTACGTGTAGTATATCTTATCACTACATCTTTTATTTCCTGTACATGTATATGTTTTATTATGA